TTCAATATTTACATAAATATAAATAACATTTTGTTAACGGAAACCCAACGCACAACGCGGCGATCTTTACCTCTCCCTCTGTGGAGTCCATTGGCTATCCTGACACACCCAGGCGTCAGTTAAAATGCTGGAATGCAATGCTCGACATGGATTGATTGGCATCGAGCTCCGCGGCAGAAGCGGAGCCAGCTCGAGGGTGGAATCGATCCGGCCTCCCACAGCTAGCGAAGAATGCCAGTCGTGAGTCCCAGCCAAAGATGTACAGCCATCATGCATGCCACATTCATATACATGAAAATGTACATATGTACGAGTATGTGTGCTATGCCCTCAGCATGCAAATGCGCCTCAACGACCGATTTGCATACGAATGCCGTGAGACTTGAAAAAAAATATTTTGTGGAATGTTGCCGTTGCCGCTGCCGCTGCCTCTGTCGCTGCCATTGGCCAAGTATGCAGGCGTCTAATAGAATCAGAGACTCTTAATTCCACCATATCCGTCGAAACAGGAAAGCGGAGCTCAATCCCAGACGTCCCAAGGAGTTTTCATGAGTTTCGTGTGATCTTAATCTGTACCACAATTGTACCATATGAGAGAACCAACGATTTCACTCGCAGTTTCACTTCCACTGACCCCCCAGGGGCTGGTCAAAGATCTTACCATGTGAACAAGCGGGAGCAAGAGATTAGTTTACATCGAGGAAGCAGGGGTGAAATTTGGGCTGCCTCTCAGCTCAACAAGTGGCATTACCTAATGTCAGCAGGTGCGGAAACTACTGCGAATTTCAGAAGAGAGATCGAGTGGCCGGGCAAGAAGGGAGTTGCTGTGTCTGCTCCTCTAACTTTGGCGGTGTCTGTGTGATATGTATGGGTCTGGTCTGGTGTGGTCTCTGGTCTCGTCCCCGATCACGCATTGCGTAATGCCGACACGAGCATAAGTATCTGCGGCCAATTCAGGTACGGATACTCGCCTGAGTCCCTCTGTGTGTCAGCGGCACACAGGCTTTATGGAAATTCCACATTTTATGAAACGAGAAAATGCAGCATTCCGTTTCCAGTTTTACTGGTAGCCGCAGCCAAAATGGCCAGCTGGTCAAGCAGGCAAATTGCCAAACACGAACTGGCCGCCAACATTTCCCACTAACATTTCCAGCCCCATGCCTTACACCAACACCCGACTGACTTTTAATCAAATAATGCAACAATTTGCTACTGAGCCAAGCCATACTTTTATCTCACAGTTAATCAGCCAATCGTTCTCAGTTAAATGTGAGTTAAAGTGTTTTACTAAGACGAAAAAGCTGTGAGATATGAACTCTGGGAACATCTCACGTATGCGGCAGCTGAAAGCCCACAAATCTACGAAACTACCAGTGCTGACTGAGAGCGACAAATCTTTAAGATGGAGATGGAGACACCTGCAACTGCACTGGTCCGAGTGTGTCAAAAAATGCACCTCCCGCGTTCACCATAGCCGTTTTGGATTTTCAAGGGGATCTTGTGGGGCAGGGCTCTCTTGTCCGCCTCTTGGGCTTCTGCAGACTCAGATCCACCCCATCGCCGGCCAGCCCGTGAAACTAGTTGTCGACTATGCTATCTACTCGTGTCTGCCTGTCTGCAAGAATGTGTGAGTGTGGAATGGAGAGGAAGCCGAAGCCGAAGCCGAAGAAGCCTAGACTGCAGCAAGCACTGGGCTTGGGCTTGGACTGCGGTTTGTTTATTGATCAACCCGTAGATACTTTTCTGTATAGCTGTTAATTTGGTCTTTTGTGTGGACCTGTGTGCGTGTTTCTCTCTCTCTCTATGTGTGGAGACGAACTGTTCGATTGAATCTGTGGAATGCGGACAATCCGGTCGCAGAGTGGAATTCTTTACACAGTCACATAGCGAAACTGTGCGGCTTGGCCGCTGAGAACCAAGAAGAAGGGGGGCACGGGGACGAGCACTTGACACTCCAGTCTTGCCCAACGGAGACTGGATTAGCTTGGTCTATTTGGCTTACATTGAATCGCACCTCTTCTCAATGGAAACAGTCAAACAGTCATGTCACTATACTTCTACTCAGTGACTGCTCAGACCATGATTTCGTCTCAAATCTGTTACAATGCCTCTCTATATGTGGAGAGAGATAGATATTTGTATGTGGATCTCCATCTTCGGTCGCCAATGATCACACTCTCATAGAACAACAGCAGAGTAATAAAATTAATTTATATTTAGTATTCCATGAAATGTAAGTACATAGATCCCCCACATTTCCCGAGATCCGTCAGTCTTCGGGCTTTTGACCCAGGAAGAGCAGCAACAGAACAGCAGCAACATCCCAAAAGCAGTTGCACCATCTTCATCGACCCAGATGCATCGAATCAACAGCAGGAGACAAAAGTAGCTGAGAAAACTCGTACCACCGGTGAGTATTCGGAATTTCCAAACAGTTTGCTACAAAATATTTTTGTATTTTGTCTTCAGGTAATGCTCAATGAGCATTTTAATATCATGATCATGAAAATATACAATACACAATAGGAACACTTGCAGAGGTCATTTGAAATGTTTAAGTGTGATATCAGAGCAATCTCGACGCAAAAATTTGGTTGCTGTAGCTTTTATAGTCTCTGATATCCAGACACTCATCAAGACGGACGGACAGACGGGCGGACAGATAGACATGGCTATATCGACTCGGCTGTTGATGTTGGTCAAGAACATATCTCTGGTTCAATGTAAGAGGCAATGGCAGTGTCTGCAGCCCCACCCCCAATGTTCTCTGCAATAATCAGCAGAAGCTTGTGTTTCGGATTCTCCACGTCGACGGTGCTCGTGGTCTGTATGCAGATCTCTCCTTTGAATTTCTCGCCGTTCCATTTATATCCGTTGATCTAGTTTACAAGAGTTCGGCCCAATTGGTAACTGTATCTAGAAGGAATATGAATATAATTCACATCATTTCTATTAGGGTTTCAGGTTTCACACCAAACAGCTTAAATATGTAGCTTCAGGTGACGTCACGAAAAGTTAGGAATTATTATAGCCGACTTTTAGGCGAAGCCCTCAAATTGTAGACCCTTAAAATCAATAGAGCCGCGGCAATTTTCGGAACTTACAGAGCTCTGCAGAGGTGGCGCCGCCAGTAGTACGACATTTTTCAATACATATTAACGAAATCAATTTCCAATTCCCAAATTACGGATAAATCCCCCCTCTTCAAAACGTCTTTTAGCAGCAGATCCTTGAGGCCTGTCATGGAGGCCATGTGATCTACATACGTTGTAGTACGGCTCGCAATTTCCATACCATCAGGTGGCTTTTACCACCGCTGCTTGCAGTGAAATGTGGACTGGGAAAAACTTACTATACAGTTTCTATACAAACAAATTATTACTTGTCAACTGACAAGATTCGCAGCTCTACATGGAGATCTGCTCCCACGCCGCGTCTATCTTCTGCTTTGCAACAGAATGTCGGCCACGGACAGATATTAGCTGGACTCGGGGGACCTCAGAGGCTGGCATTACCTAGATGGCTGGAATAAAATTGGATAAAATGATAACAATCTCCTAACCATTCATCTATTTCATGAGCTGATGGTGCTGCAGCAACTGCAATTTCTACTGCTGTGATGCTGATGTGGCTGGAGGTGGCTGAGGCTCTTATCCTTAGAAGATAAATGTTTTCATAAATGTAAGTCGAGGTGTGCATGTTTTCACTTTGTGAAATTGACGTGTTGCTGCGGAACAGCAGAAAACGGTGCTTGAAGTTTGATTTAATCAATCACGTCAATCACATGTCAAGACCTCACAAAGCTAATTCGATTGAGCCGTACTCGGAATATGGCCGCGGAATATTAAAAACAGGAAGGGAGGTTGGGAGACTTGGGATAAATGCTGACAAAGGATTTTCTATAAAAAGAAGATGTTTCTGATGCAGTGGACCAGTCGACCAAGGGCAAAGCCGAGAATGGGACAAAAGAGCTGCGCGCATTTTGCCACCTTGGCGATGCCATTCTGGGCCTTAACATTTTATCTTCTGGTGGTGGTGCCCGTACCGTCCCAGACAGCCAGCCAGCCAGCCAGCTTGGAGGTCGTCAAGGAGGAACGGCGACTGCAAGACTTCGATCCCAAAATGGCAGCAAACGCGGCAAACTCAGACGGACTGTCGTTGGCACGCTTCAGCAGCAGACGGCACCAGAGATCCATTGGACTAGGATTCGGGCACCGGGGAGCGATTATCTCCCGGCCAGTAATACCCATCGAACTGGACTTGCTGATGGACAACGAGGACGATCAAAGGACGATGCCAAAGCGCTTTGATGACTATGGTCACATGCGGTTCGGAAAGCGGGGAGGGGACGACCAGTTCGATGATTACGGTCACATGCGCTTCGGACGGTAAACGCAACTGCAACAGCAACTGCAACAGCAACTGCAACTTTTGGCTATGGGTCAGAGGTACCCGAGGTGTTTGCTTTTGTAAATATTAACTTAAACAATGATATGCCCGATACAACATTAACGATAGTCAAAGAAAGATACCTTTAATAAATATGCGCATTCCCAAAATGGACACACTATCGCAACTACAACTGCAACTGCAACTGCAACTGGAACTTTTGGCTATGGGTCAGAGGTACCAGTATTGTCTGCTTTTGTAAATATTAACTTAAACAATGATATAAACAGATGATACAACATTAACGATAGTCACAACATTCACACACGCATTCCCAAAATGGACACACTCACCCACAGATTTCATTTACTTGCTGGTCAGGAAATTATGGCACTACATAACTACACTGCATTATCGACTATTCATGTATTGAGATCCAATTGTTTTAGTGGGATGTCACGAGAGTCCCCTCCACAGTGACAACTCTGCAGGCAGCCATGGGTTATCGTTACCCCTTCAGAGCGCAATCGAACTGCCATCTGATTTATTCCCCACACCCAGTCGAACCGATAAGCTCGTCAATATGGGGCTGGAGACCACAAATGACTGGCTGTAGGTTCTCAGTCTGAAAAGCAAGCCCAGAGGTCGTGGAAGCATAGAAGCGTCGAGTGCAGAGCCCCAAAAAAACCGAAGCACCAGAGATAAGATTTTAACTAGAGCCCAATAAATAAGCGCGAATAAGATGTTAATCGGCTCAATACTCGCTTGTACAGAAACGAATTAAGAATGCTCCGGATTTTGTACCTGTACCCCTGTTGCGTTCTGCTAATCGCGCTCCACCGTCCGCTGGATGCTAAAACTGTGCTCGTGGAGGAGCTCACAAAGTGGACACTGAGGAACGAGACCTCTTGTGAGTAAGAGTATACACGTAAATGATTAAAGTGTCCCATGTCATTGCGATTGATTCATCATGGCCTCCCGGGAGTGTTTGCACTTGTGATAAGATTAAAGTGGCATCGTCTGTGTTTAGTCTCTGCTGGCAGGCAGCCAATTTGCGCTAATTAATTGGTTGTAAATACCTACTGCTTTCGATGGCACTGTGATTCGCATGCCAACTCTTTGTTTACTAACAGTACCTGCCCCGTCCCATTGTAATTTCAGCACTAAGGATCGACGTAGCCCGGGTTCCAAGCGGGGTATATACGGCGCTGAGGGATACTTATGGAGACCTGCTGGAAATGGAGAACAACGTGGCCCTCAGCTGGATAGCCAACCGAACGTGGATTTACAGCACCACCTTCGACAGTGGGTAAATGGTTCGCTTCTCCATGTTTCCACTCTGACTCTGAACATCGATCTGCAGGCGACGAAATCGGTCACGACAATTTGGTGAACCTCACGCTTCACGGTGTCGATACCGTGTCCAGGGTGAGGCTGAACGGTGAGTTGATCGGCGAAACGGACAACATGTTCGTCCGTTACTCGTTCGCCATTGGGCACTTGCTCCTGCCCAGTCCCAGCCAGAACACCCTGGAGATCGAGCTGCTTTCGCCACTTCAGGAGGCCCAAAGACGCGCCCAGAAACTGGAGGAAGAGGGCTACGCCATCGCTCCTTCCAACTGTCCAGTGGCGCAGGGCTATGTCGAATGCCATTGCAACATGCTGCGCAAAATGCAAATGAGCTTCGGCGGCGAGTGGAACCCGGCAGCCCTTTCGTCCGGCATATGGAAGCCAGTGGCCATCGAGTACTACAAGGTGGCTATTCTCCGCGACGTTGATGTGGCCATCAACCGCAATGAAACCCACTGGACGATGGACTGTCGGGCCTTTCTCAGCTCACCTGCCTCGGAGAACTTCTACGCCAAGCTCGTGGTGTATGCCAGGTATTCAGAGCTAACTAGAATTTTTCTTTGGACAATTGCAATATGAACCTTACAGTGAGCTCTTGGATGAACCACTTGTTCTGGACCATCAAGAGGTGAACTACGCATACGCCGTTCTAGAGTTCAAAATACACATTCCCCAGGTACATGGCAAGAAAAGTAATCCATTCAAATGATTGAGGTTGATTCACCCTAGGACCGAGTCACTCTGTGGTGGCCAAATGGCTATGGCCAGCAACGACTCTACCCGGTGCTGTTTTCAGTGAAGTGCTTCCCAAACGAAGAGGGCCCCAACCTGAGCTCCCGCACCGAGTCGCAGAAGCTTTTGAAGATCGGATTTCGCACCATAGAGTTGGTGGAGGACATGGACAGTGAGTTGGGTTCATTTTGCAAGTTCCATTCTTGATCGTCTCTTGTGTAGACAGCGGCAGAACCTTTTTCTTTCGAGTGAACGGCCATCCAATCTTCATGAAGGGTGCGAACTATGTGCCTGCTAATACACTGCCAGAACTGTCCGCAGAGGCGGATACGGGTGAGTACCATCCAATAACAGACACAGACCAAGAACTTGGCTAATCACAAATTGCAATTCACAGTGCAGCACTTGCTGAAGTCGGCCCACGACGTCCACATGAACATGATCCGCGTGTGGGGAGGCGGTCTCTACGAGTCGGAGACATTCTACAACTTGGCAGACTATTACGGCCTCCTAGTATGGCAGGACATGACATTCTCCAAGGCCGCCTACCCCGTCACGGACGATTTTGTGGCTTCTGTTTGCCTCGAGACAAGGCAGAATGCACAACGGCTCTCGTACCATCCCAGTCTCGCGATGATTGTGACGAACAACGAGATCGAGCTCTTCCTGGTGAAGAATCGCTCGGATCTCGGCGAAAATGCAGCACGCCTTGAGAAGGACTATCAGGCTCTATTTATGGGCACGCTCAGGCACGAGCTGAGTATTATTTCCCGCAATGATTTCAGCCCTCGTCCTGGCCCCATGATATCCACGCCATCGCTGGGTATTGCAGAGTCTGGAAAGGAGCTGGCCGTAGATCCACAGCAACCCAATTTCGGCGACAGTAAGCAATATCCGCTGCCACCCATGACAACTTCTATCACCTATCGCCTATTATTTCTGTTCTCACCGTAGTCCACTTCTGGGACGACGACAAGGACGGATTCGACTCGGACACCTACCCGCACGCTCGGTTCGTATCCGAATTCGGATATGCCAGTCTGCCCGTGCTCTCCAGCTGGCAGCGAGCGTTGGGTAACGTCTCAGATGTCTCCAACGAAAGCGTAGCTGCCCTGATCCGAAGTCACCAGCACGATCCCAAGGGATTCATACCGATACTTAAGCTGATTGCCCTACAGTTGCCATTCATGCTTCACAGCTGGGATGAGAACATTGAGGAGTTCATTTACTTCAGCCAGGTCGCACAGGCAATGACCTCCAAGACGGCCGTCGATTTCTTCCGAACCCTGCGCACCGACAACCAGACAATGGGCGCCCTAATATGGCAACTGAATGACGTGTGGGTGGCCCCCACGTGGTCGTGCATCGACTTCTATGGCAACTATAAGATGGTCTACTACTGGGCCAAGGACTTTTTGGCCCCGACTAGAGTGATTGCCTTGTACGACAAGAGCTCCGACAGCCTCAATGTGACGCTCACAAGGGAGGACTACGTGGAGCACCCGGACACGCGCCTATACCACGTCCAAATCAACACATATCTCTGGACAGACTTTATTGCCAAGAAAACTATAGCCCGTGCCTTCGCTCTGGTGTGTATATTCAGCAATTGAGTTAACTCCCCATTCAGTATGGTTTTTATCTGTTCTCGCTTCTTCGCACTCATATCCTATCCCCTTAAAGATTTCAAATTGTATGCATCCATCCTTCATGGATTATTATGATCCCTTAGTCTATTTTTTCAGTGCTGTCCTCAACCTCTGTGTCACTTATCAGCTAAACCCCTTTCATAGCTCCCTGTTATCCGTATCTCGTAATGTTGATTTCACTGCCATCATTAGCCTCATTTGCATTTCTGTCCCGTCCCGCCCGACTTGGCATTACTTTCCTCTTCGTTTTTTTTTTTTTTTTTCTTCTGGACGTTGATATGCAATGACTGCACCATCAAGTGGCCCATGCGACACCAAGCCAAAGCCTGTTACGCGCGAAACCTATCAGAACGCAGCCCTCCTCCCGCCCAACCGACCGAGGGGCGCTGCCGCATGACGCGCGGCGCGATTAACCGAACCGGTCGCGAGCATGCAGGAAAGATAGATGTTAGGCTAATATTCGAGGAAAATTAGAGCTAATCATAACTAGACTAAGCTAAGCTATAGCTAAGCAAGCAGAAATTACCAAAATCAGAAACAAGACAAAACTAAAATGAAACTAACTACGGGAGAGGTAGGCTAGTATAAGAGATTTAAGAAGAGGAAGGGAGTTAGTTGAGGATATAATGTGGTAGAGGGAATTATAATCCGAGCATAAAACCCTAAAGGGTTCGTGTGAGGCATAATTCGATCTACATAGTGGAAGGAACAAAGGAATAAAGTTTCTAGTGGGTCTAATGGGAATCGTAAAGTTTATGCGGCTCAGCAAGTCAGGGCTGTCTACATCCCCCTTGATCAAGTTGTGCATAAAAATTACACCAAGCATTTTTCTACGACTAACTAAGGATGGAAGATTTATTAAAAGAAGTCTACTACGGTAGGATGGCAGTCTCACAGTTGCATCCCAGTTGAGGCCCCGTAGGGCAAATAATAAAAAGTTTTTCTGTACTGATTCAATACGGTCCTGATGTATGTTGTACTGAGGGCACCATACACATGAGCCGTATTCTAAAATCGGACGAACAAGCGAGATATAGAGAGTCTTCGTTATATAGGGGTCCTCAAATTCCTTTGACCACCTCTTTATAAACCCAAGCACACCCATGGCTTTATTTACCATGNAAAGCCTGTTACGCGCGGAACCTAGCAGAACGCAGCCCTCCTCCCGCCCAACCGACCGAGGGGCGCTGCCGCATGACGCGCGGCGCGATTAACCGAACCGGTCGCGAGCATGCAGGAAAGATAGATGTTAGGCTAATATTCGAGGAAAATTAGAGCTAATCATAACTAGACTAAGCTAAGCTATAGCTAAGCAAGCAGAAATTACCAAAATCAGAAACAAGACAAAACTAAAATGAAACTAACTACGGGAGAGGTAGGCTAGTATAAGAGATTTAAGAAGAGGAAGGGAGTTAGTTGAGGATATAATGTGGTAGAGGGAATTATAATCCGAGCATAAAACCCTAAAGGGTTCGTGTGAGGCATAATTCGATCTACATAGTGGAAGGAACAAAGGAATAAAGTTTCTAGTGGGTCTAATGGGAATCGTAAAGTTTATGCGGCTCAGCAAGTCAGGGCTGTCTACATCCCCCTTGATCAAGTTGTGCATAAAAATTACACCAAGCATTTTTCTACGACTAACTAAGGATGGAAGATTTATTAAAAGAAGTCTACTACGGTAGGATGGCAGTCTCACAGTCGCATCCCAGTTGAGGCCCCGTAGGGCAAATAATAAAAAGTTGTTCTGTACTGATTGATTCTGAGGGCACCATACACATGAGCCGTATTCTAAAATCGGACGAACAAGCGAGATATAGAGAGTCTTCGTTATATAGGGGTCCTCAAATTCCTTTGACCACCTCTTTATAAACCCAAGCACACCCATGGCTTTATTTACCATGGTAGAAATGTGTTCAGAAAACATTAACGTGGGGTCTAGTTTAACACATAGATCATCAACCAAGGTAATTCTCTCAAGAGAAGGGTGTAAGGAGCCAGGGAGGGGCTGGAGCGATAAAAAGTAATTACATTGCACTTCGAGGCATTAAGTTGTAACATATTTGCACAGCACCATGACTGAAAGCTATTGAGATCAGATTGCAAGCGAGAGTGAAATGAAATGTGCTTATACTGAACACAGAGTTTAACATTATCCGCATACATAAGTACTCGAGAATTTGTTAATACAGAATGCAGGTCATTAATAAAGAGTGTGAAAAGTAAGGGGCCTAAATGGCTACCCTGTGGTACTCCAGAAGTAACCATAACAGCTAAAGATAAGGAGTTTTTGAAAAGGACCCTTTGAGACCTAGAACACAGGTAGCTAGAAATCCATCTCAACAGATTGTGCGGAAACCCTAGAAGGTCGAGCTTTTGTGCAAGAAGAGAATGGTTTACGGAATCGAATGCCTTACTGAAGTCAGTGTAAATAACATCCGTCTGCAAGTTACTTTGGAAGCCTTTAATTACAAAGGAGGTGAACTCTAAAAGATTAGTGGTTGTTGATCGTCGCCGTATAAATCCGTGCTGAGCTGGAGATATAAGTGATTTGCAGAGATGCTGCAAGTGCGGAGTTAAAAGTTTCTCGAACATTTTTTATAACTTAGATATACCTCTATAGTTTTTAGCGTCAGACTTGCTACCTTTCTTATGGAGAGGAATTATAAAGGATTCCTTCCAGATGGGGGGAAAACTAGAAGAATGGATGGATAGAGTGAATAGTTTAAGCAAAGGTCCGCACAGAGACTCGGCACAGTACCTGAGTACACAGCCGGGAACTCCGACAGGGCCCGGTGAAATGACCGGCTTAACTAATTGAAATACATTAAGTCCTTCATTAAACAAAGGGCAGAAAATTCCATTCGACCTTGGTAAACTATATGGATACATATGACCTGGGTAGCTTTCCTGGGAATAGGTGGTTTGAAAAAATTGTGCAAAAAGATCGGCGATTGCCTGATCATTGTTTGGGGACATATTCAAAAATGATAGCGAGGATGGATGTGCGGACGTTCTACGCTCACTGTTTACAAAGTTGTAAAACTGTTTAGGGTCCTTTGAAAAACGTATCCTGCATCGAAGGAGGTAGTTCCTATAGCATTGAGCATTAAGAACAGTGAAATTTGACCGAGCTATTAAGTAATTAGAAAGAGAAGAGGGGGAACCAACTTCTTGAGATTTTTTAAATAGTCTTGATTTTAGATTTTCTAGACTGGATAACTCTTTGGTGAACCAAGGAGGTTTCGCAGATCTAGTCGGGCATGAAAGTGGGACACACGTGTCAAGTACATTGTAAAAAATGTTTGTGCCTTCAATGATGTCAGTGCACAAATACAGAGCGGACCAATAAAAATTTCGAATTAAGTTATTGAGCTTCGTAAACTCGGCTTTACGAAAGCAGCGGACGCGTTCAGATAGCCTACCCGCACGATCCGATACAGTAGGTCCAATATCTATCGACACTTCGAAAGTAGGATGATAGCAGTCTTCAGGTATAGTGAGCGGGAGTGCTCGTGTTAACAACGCTACGGTCGGATCCGAGACAAAGCACAGATCAAGCAATCGACCCAAGGAGTTTTTTACATGGTTGACTTGAGACAGGGACAGGTCTAATAAGCCATCAATAAACTCATGTCGTGACATGGGCACAAGGTTGTTTGACTCGTTAACCGAAGACCAGACAGTACCTGGCAGGTTGAAATCCCCAAGAACTATTAAATGGTCTTTATCTGATAGCGAGGAAGAAACAGTTTTTAAGTCAGAGAAATGCTGATCCGAAGACGGTGGAATATACGAGCAAGTGATATAAATAGACTGGCCGGGAAGAATCAGTCTAACACAGAGGAATTCCAGGTCTTGTGAGACCTGGACTATGAAAAGTTCCGACGTAAAGTTAGAGTTTACTGCAATCAGAACCCCTCCTCCACGTCGAGACGAACGATCATTCCTATAAATTGTGTACCGATCTGCCAAAACTTCGGAACTAAGAATGTCCGGCTTTAACCAGGTTTCGGTAAACACAATAACATGGGATGAAAATGTGAAACTATCCATAAAAAGAGTGCTCAGCTTACTACGTAAGCCGCGAGCATTTTGATAGGCTACAAAGAGGGATGTTAGTTTTTTGACTGCAAGGAATTGCATTGGGAAGAGGGGAATGGAGCAGAGGAGGAAGGACCACTGGCCTCACTACTAGGAAGAGTTATGGGGGGCCTATTTTTCTTCTTAGCCTTAAACTCTTTCACAACCAGGTGCTCTGGCCAAAATTTGGAAGAGCAAATGGTCCCGAAATGAGTTGGAGACACGCTAATCTTGAAAGAGGATATCTCCCTGGCATATGAGAAATTAAACTTCTCCACCTTTAAGCCAACGGCTTTTATTTTGCTTTGTATAAAAGCAGTTACATCATTAGATGTGAGGTCAGGGGCAAGCCGAGAGACAAAAACTTGCCGCTTTGGTGGGACTCCCACCAGAGGTTTTGGCACCACAGATCTGGTACCTGTGACGGCAATATCCGGTGGTCCGGGACGTTTATTAACTGGTGGGATCGAAATAGATGGGATGGGCTTTGGAACGGACTCGACAGACACGGACGCTACAGTACTAACTGGCTGCATGTTGTCCGAGATGATCGATTCGGAAGCCGAAACTAAATGACCAGCAGTTGTCGTTGCCCGCGGAGTAGCGAACGCAATTCGCTGCTGCACTATCGGAGTGGACGGAGACACTTGATAAGNGTAAAAACAATAACATGGGATGAAAATGTGAAACTATCCATAAAAAGAGTGCTCAGCTTACTACGTAAGCCGCGAGCATTTTGATAGGCTACAAAGAGGGATGTTAGTTTTTTGACTGCAAGGAATTGCAGTGGGAAGAGGGGAATGGAGCAGAGGAGGAAGGACCACTGGCCTCACTACTAGGAAGAGTTATGGGGGGCCTATTTTTCTTCTTAGCCTTAAACTCTTTCACAACCAGGTGCTCTGGCCAAAATTTGGAAGAGCAAATGGTCCCGAAATGAGTTGGAGACACGCTAATCTTGAAAGAGGATATCTCCCTGGCATATGAGAAATTAAACTTCTCCACCTTTAAGCCAACGGCTTTTATTTTGCTTTGTATAAAAGAAGTTACATCATTAGATGTGAGGTCAGGGGCAAGCCGAGAGACAAAAACTTGCCGCTTTGGTGGGACTCCCACCAGAGGTTTTGGCACCACAGATCTGGTACCTGTGACGGCAATATCCGGTGGTCCGGGACGTTTATTAACTGGTGGGATCGAAATGGATGGGCTTTGGAACGGACTCGACAGACACGGACGCTACAGTACTAACTGGCTGCATGTTCTCCGAGATGATCGATTCGGAAGCCGAAACTTGATCACCAGCAGTTGTCGTTGCCCTTGGAGTAGCGAACGAAATTAGCTGCTGCACTATCGGAGTGGACGGAGACAGTTGATCAGCAGCGAGCGGTCGAGGGACAGGCACTTGCAGATCACGAGGAGTGACTTTTTTGCGCCTAGGAGACTCATTCAGCACTTTAAAACTGCTGAATTGAGATTCCATGGCTAGAAGCCGATCGTACTGCTTTTTAAAGCCCACGGTCAGCTCCTTAAAGCCCTTTCGCGTCTGCCTCATAAACGTGACCATGTCATTCTCGATAGACCGACATGCCTCGCAACTGTAATGCAGACCATTACGCTTCGAAATTGCGTCACCCACGAGGCCTGAGAACCCAATACATTTTGCGTGCACTACGTTATCGCAGAGCCAGCAAGGGATGATCGGCTGGTAGTGGGTGATCTGCTTTTTGCAGGCCTTAGCGGAGCACACAACCAAGTATTCCATTATTTTATTATTTATTTTGAATATATAAATAAATAAAATAAATAAAAATTATTTTCACACAACAAGTAGCAATGGGACCAGTGTGCCGACCAATTGCTTAAAGAAAAGTTTAAAGCGGGATCGAAAACAGATGAGCGCAGAGAGGAGAGAAGAACAAGCGCAGCGGCAGCTAAAACAGTGAGCGCACGCCACTGCACAGAAAGTATTGAGAGCGAGAGAGGGAGAACAGTTACTCGAGCTATAGAGTGAAAGACAGAAGCGCAACTACAAGAGAGAGCGGTTAATAGTGAGGACGTACTTACAACAAGAAAAAGCACAAACACACAACTAACCGACGCACAAATGAATACGATTTTAATTTTAAACAAAATAATAGGCATGCACTCGCGTATTAAGATAGTTAAGAAAAGCGGCAAGCTATTCAATAATTATAGAAGAATTATTTCGAAATAAAACCCGGTGTTTATTCAAAATATAAAGGAAAATACGGAGCGCAAAACAAAAACACGTCTGGTCACTACAAAAGAGAACGCACGGTTTTCATCTCTGTTTCACTGACTACGATTCTTTCCTATGCCTTTGCCGTAACTATAATAGTTTTTGCCATATGTTATCATTCGATACTTGTTTTATTAGGGCCCAAGCATTGTTAATGAGTAATTTAATTGAATTAATTATTCTTTTGATAGGCTATGTGCTTTTCCCTGACCAAAACGGGGTCAGGCTAATAGCCATAGTCAGTTTTATTCCTATTTATATAATTAGGTGTTCCCATTAGTTTAACTGCACATAGCTTAGCCCTAAACATTAATAATATGCATCTCGACAGGGCTCTAATGAGCTGGAAGCACGACCAATCCCTCTGGATACTTTTCTGTATGAAAATCACTCGAAGGAAGAAATGTTCCTCGAGATTGTCCTGGAGGATAACTACGGTGGGACGTTGTCAAGAAATCACTTCTATCCGGTGCCTTTGAAGAACGTTAAAGGCATCGAAGATCCTGAATTGGCGGTGAGTGCGGATGCCATAAGAGTACTTTCATTCCGATCATGTATACATTTATTCCACAAAAGCTGGAAGTGGTAGGACCCGACTGCGGCACGGCCAAGCAGCCGTACACCAACAGTTTCAGCCTACGCATCACAGTGAAATCTCCAGCTCTGCTGGTGTACTTGGAACTCTCCCATCCCGACTATGTCAAGCAGAGACACCAGTTCTCGACGAACGGCTTTACCCAGACGGAACCCAGGAAAACTGTCCACCTGGAATTTGAAACCTCTTCCGAGTGCCTAAAGCTGACTAGCGAGCACATCAAAGTGCAAACTATGAATCAATATTTAATCTAAACACAACTTGCAGCTTAAATTGATTTTTAAAACAACCAGATCGGTGTAGGATCTCCCATTGTAGAAACTCCTCCTCGATCGCTCTTTAAATATAATCATTGAATCAAATGCCGATTTTAGCTTTATTATTTTTTTTTTTTATAGACTCTGTTTTTATTTATACCCAGTTCTCGAAGAGCTTAGAGCTCTGTACTCCATAAAATGTATATATTCTTGATCAGCATCAATTGCCATATCCGTCTTGTTAGTCAGATACTATAAAAGCTAGAGCAACTCAATTTTGCATCCAAATTTCTGTGACATTACCCTCAATCTAGATTGTTTTAAAAATTTGGCCAGGCTTCTTCCGGACGAAAATCTGTGGCGGAGGACAACAAACTGATACGGATGGTTTGTGTGAGAAGGCGTGTAAATGTAAAGACCAAATTGAAGCTGGTCAAATATTGAAGATTGGACACCTAATACATCTCCCAAAGTTCGTCCTCCTTGCAACATCTTCGTTCAATCAAACAACAAACAACAAGCAGCGGCAGGCAGACCAAAACACCTACGTGGCAAACACAAATCACAAAAAAAGCCATAAATCCAAATCCCATTTGTCAGCATTAGAAAATTATGCAGCACCAACAAAACGTTCGGGAGAGAGGAGGGAAGTACAGGTAGGGAGTACAAGACCCCTCCATCTGCAGGGATTCATAAATTAAATTACACGACAAGCGCAATAATAATAAAAACGATTTGAGGCCCACACGCAACCCGAAAAAAAGAGAAGAAAAAAGAGAGAAAAAATAACTAAGAGAAACCTGCACAAAGATTCATTAAAGATTTGCCCAAACAACAAGAAATAACAAATCAAGGAGCAAAAAAATAATAAAAGTATTAAAAGAGAACTGCAACCGTTTTTTATGCATGTAATCTATGGAGGGAACATGCACAATATGTCCAACCTGCAGAGGGGAAGGTAGAGCACAGCTGGGGGGAGAGGGTGTGGACAAGGCTAGCGGTGGGGAGCCAGCTCTTGCCATAGAAGCACACACACAAAATTCACAATTAAAATCAAAATAAATGATGATGATGATGGTTATGGTGCACCACCATGTGTTGCACGCATGCGCGGGCGCCATCATCAGCTGCCATCAGGGGCAGCCATCGTTGCTGGCTTATTGCCAAATTTGGTCAGGCGCAAAAGAGCCACAACACACACACAAGCGGAAGCCACCGGCAGCAGACACCGACTGTCGCAGAAGTGTCATACTCACTCGTACTCGCACTCGTACCTGTACATTGCAGAGCCATGGGAATCGCTGGCCAGCGAGTGGATGCCACAAATGTGCTTGCTGCGGCTAAAAGGTATGTGGTGTATGGTGTGTTGGCCAAATGACAAAAGTCTTAAAGCGAAGACCAACAGCAGATACAGCAGCAATTGCTGAGAATCAACTGAAGTAAATCAAACAATTGGCTTATGTCAGGTGAAGGGGCTGAGGGTGCTTCAGCAAATATGCATCATTGGAATGTTCTGCAGAGGATGAAAATGTGATGTATGCAGAACACATAAGTAAATAACTTCGGAAAAATGGCTGAAAACTGAATCTCGAGATTGTTTCATGAAGTAACCCCGGGCCCACCTTTCGTTGAGATTACTGCAAAACTGCGAGTCAACTCCCCGACATTCTGTTTTCCAAATTAACAAATCAAATGAAATGAAACTGACAAATAAATACAAAGAAATATGCTATAATATATGCACATGCATACATACATATGAGAGTTCTTAAATGTTCTATGTATATAAACTTTAAAAGTATACATTTAAATGCCAATAGGTAAATGTAATCCTAAGTGTATTTCTGTACTTTACATATGCATGAGAGATTGTTATTTGTTAGCTTGATGTTTAACTAAAGTGTTTAATGTACTCGTATTTCGTGTACAAGCAAGACTCGTCCTTTGGTATAGAGGCGATCTATGCATTGGGCAGATAGATAACCGATGTGTAGTACATTTTTAGACAAAAGATTACCAACGGATCTTTGTTTACAATGAAAGTGATGATAGAAAACAAAATACTAGCAATATAAATACAATATATGAAGGAATTTGATCAGATCTTAGTCAGAGTCGGGCAGCAGCCTAAACGACTTTAGTCCGAAAAGTTTTCGGGCATTATTCTTTCCTTTGATGTGTTTAACTTTTTAGTACCCTGAGTTGGTACAATTCATGTGATTTCTATACACCAAGCAGGAGTTACTTTTTCTGTAACTTCATAAGCACTCTCAGCTGGAAGTTAATTTCATTACTTATAATAACATGCCAGATTGTTGCACCTTAATTCTCACTCATATAGGGAGGTATGTATGTAAATTAACTTTATGTCGTTTTTGGTCCGAGCTGCGGTATGCGTTGCGTTGGCTCCGGCGGCAGCGATCGGGTTCCCGTGGCCCGCTCTTGTAGCGGGGGACGGTGGTTGCGGTTGGCAACTGAGTCTTCTACCGAAGATTATGTTGAGAGGGTAATTGCCCTCTATTTCGTTGGCCCTTAAGGCTCAACAATATGATTATATCAATACACGTTTTACGACTCGTGTCGGAGTTGATATGAACGCTCCGTTCATTTATTCGTCCAATTCTAAACTAACGCTTACTTCTAAACCTACACCGAAACCTAGCCGGCGAGCCGTCCGCGCTCACAAGAGATAAGAGCCGCCTACGCATAAACAAGATCATGCGATCGCTGGCGCCCAATCAGATAACAGAGCCGCCCGCTGCAACGGCATCTACTGCATCGGCGCCCTCCGTATCGGACTGGATAAGTTAGGGCGGCACATGATATTTCACATTTCTTGTGCGCTAAGTTAGGGTGTCCCATGTTATTGCTTATGTGTTAACTACTCCCCCCTTAAATCATCTCCGTCCTCGGCGATACCTATCTCTCTGATGACCTTTTGCAACTTGATTGAGGAGTTCCTTCGACTCCAGCATTGATGCAACAGGATAAGGCCACAGAGCTTGAGGCTGACCGCAATGAACCAGGTCTTGGGTGACCCACCGGACGTCATGTCGCTTCTATGTTTTTGGCTGCCCCTTACATTG